ACATACTGATTGCGCGGGGCCAGAGTCTGATACCTGGATTTGTGATTTTTGCAAATAATTTATGTTCTTTTCTATGTTATACCAAAGTTTTCAAAGAGTTTCATATAAGTTAAGGTTAAGTTTTGATAATTTTTATAGTATTCCATATTTGGGGTACCTATTCCATATTTAGGTACCTTCATCATTATTTAGTTCTTGAAAAAGTTTCGTACTTAAAACTAATTAATATAAACAAAAATTGTTACATAATAAAAAGTAAATATATGATTGTTAATAATTACCATATAAAGTTTTTTATTTACAACATTTGTGCAAATTATGCGTAAAAAACAAAATGGTATTCCATATTTGGTCACTTTCCTCTATTAATGTTTATTTGTAATACAATTAGTCATATGCATACCATTTCCTATTGCCAGTTGGTGCCGATAAACAGATTTACAATATTATTGCTAATTTCAAAACTGGATCACGGAAATTGTAGTAACCAGTAAGTAGGTGGGTATGTATTTTTCTACGCCGGATGTTCTACTCGATAGTAGACATAAACATAGCGGGTACTGATACTAACGAACTACTATAGATACTTACTAGTTCATAAGGTATATACTAAATACCTACACATGCCCAAAATGCAGTCTGAAATAAAATTATTAATAAAATATTTTTCTTAGCTAATGTTAAGTATTGTGCAAATAAGGTGATATAGTGGTAAATTAGCAAAGCATGACTTGTGGTCCAAGTGTCTGTTTACCCCCTTATTCAGAAAAATTAAAACCTTATACAAATCTACTTTATTATAGTGTTTTGTAATTTTCTTTCAAATCGAAAATTTTGTGTAAAAGAAGGAGAAAAAATAGTTTAATAGTTAAAGTAGAAGGATTTGGAGAAGTTCTGGTTTAAGTTTTTATGAATAAGGGGGGTAAACAGACACTTGGAGTACAAGTATAAAAAATTAAGAGATGTCTTTAGCTATTTAGGGGAAATGACATTTTAAAGGACTGATAGATGAAAATCAAAGTGGTATTAAGAATTTGCATATTGCGGCAAGTAACACAAAAAAAAACATTCAATAGGTCATAATTATTATTATTTTAATAACTTATTATTCATTACTGATAATATAGATCTATATATATCGACTATAGGATGAGGAAAGCGTATTTACTTATCGTTAAATTATTAATTAGAGAGTTGTCCTATAAACAATTTGTTATGCTTGTATGGGATTTTTGATTAGAAGCGACTTAATATTGAATAACATGCTATGGACATATTTATTTGTTCACGTTATTACAAACCCACGCTCTTCTCACGAGTAGATGATTCAAAAGTAATACTGCAATACTTGTCAAATTTGAAATATAAAGGAACGATTTATTTAAATGTATTTGAAAATGTTTTCTGCGCGTCGTTAATACAAGTGTAGATTAGAATAAAATATTTCTAATGTTTGAGGCAGAACGATAACATGAATTGATCTAATTTTTCTGAAACAGCCGAGTCTGTCAATATTGGTTTATAAATGACGAAGTTCTGAGGAAATAAACAAACAAAATATACAACCGTTTTGTAAACTTCCTTTTTTTTGCAGTCGGTTCTAAATAACTGAATTCTCAAGGTGGTCCACGTTAAAGAATTTGTTACTTGTTAGTTGAAAATCTTCCTTTATGGGAGAGGCTTTGTTTAGCAGTGGACGATTCACGGCTGGTATGATGATGATGGTGATAGCTGTATGTAGCTGTAGCTGTTTTGGAGTGGCATAGAAAAAAATCTATATGTTAATCTAGTTCATCTCTGTACCGAATCTCATTAAAACATGTTCCGCTATTTAATTGTAATTACGCACAAACCTCGAAATATTTACAAACTTTTACATTTTTAATAAGATATTAGTAGGATAATAACTTTTAATAATTCAAATATAGGTAACTAATGAAAATAGTACCTACTTACTTAATTACACTTTAGCTCAACGTAAGTTACAACGTTAATTGCCTAAGGTTAGGGCGTGGAGAGCTCATTGTTGTAATCTATTTGTTGACTCACTCCTGCACCTAATAAGATACATTCATATGGATTTGTTTACCACGTTAATTAATTCCTTTGTCCAATGGTCTATCCACACGCAAAATGTCTTGTCAAACTCCAATGTCTATATTCTTGATAAGGTCATCTTCGCAAACTATGTGACTCATTTATATCAAACATCTGGTTAATGTTATTTGCAGATTATTAGTTTATATATATAATCTGTATTATAAGTCTACTGAGTGCCTTTATAATTTACGGTAGGCATGGCATAATATCGTATAAGTTTATCATAACGGTATAATAGTGAAGCAAAATATATGTATTTATCTGAAGTTTTTAATTTTATATTATAATAGTGTGGAGATATATGGCATAATAATATTGTTAACTTGCATGTAAATTTAAAAGAATCTCCATATAATTGCATATACTTCGCAGTCCTTATATCGTGACGATAGAAACGTGGGATATTATGTCATGCTTCTGTAATTAGAAGAGCGTACATTAATATGGTTTATAAAACCTGATTTGTCGTAAATTATATATTTACTTAAAACTACGTAAACTATATATTTAAATATATTTGTAATAATTACATAGGTTGTTAAACATATACCTAGGTATCTTCTCTTAGACTATACGTTTTTTCTATTACTGATAATATGATAGAATTTGTAAATGTTATAAAATGCAAAGTTGCGACTCCATTAGCTACTCATAGTCATAATAGCCATCTAGATTATCAAACTAATTATTTGCTAATGAAATTATCATTTAAAGATATTTTAATTCTAAAATATAATATTAAACGTAAAATAGGTATATAATAGCTTGACGACATAGAAACAAAAAAAGTATAAAGTAATTGTCAATGTAATTAAGTAGAGACAGTACTCGCGTACATATTTTTTTAATAATAAATGATGTTACTTAATAGTAATATTCATCTTCAAATTAATACATTAGAAGTAGATATGCCACGCATGGGAAACTAAACAATTACATTCTCACTATCTATACCAAAACATTTTCCTCATAAATCCACTGTATTTCAAATGTTGCTCAATACATACACTCGAAGAAAGCTACAATATTCATATATATATTTCTAAATAATTAGAAAAATGTTGACAGATAAATAAAATAGAAAAGTATGTAATGCTACCATAGAATAATGGCAACTGACAAATGAATAAGTTCTAGGCGAGGTTTTAATTAGCCCACGCATTGTCTCAGGTGAATAAATTCACTGTATTACGTGTATTATATCACGCAAATGGCATAGCAGTGTTAGAAAAAAAAACAAGGTTAGAGTTGCACAGTACACAGAAAAGTGTATTTTCAGAAGTTTCTATAAATTAAATCTTCGTGTATTACAACCTAACGTTTATAGGTTAATGCATGGTAAATGTTAGTATTATTATCATTACTATGTTTATGATTACGATGTTGTGTGGAAAACTTTATGCATTCACATAACTAGTGGACGTAGTATGTATATAAAATTGGTAAATAATGGTATTAATTAATTTTTGTCGCTATATATACATATATATTGGCAGTGTTTTATCGCATCGGTAACAAATTGGCTCCTGTGACCTTATACCAAAATGGGGATCAGTATTGGATTAATAGATGCCATTATTCTGTTACAATATACAGCAACTGTTTTATCAATTAGACACAAATTGATAGGGGATGGCTGTCCATATCAATATAACTAATTAATTCTAGGCCGTGATTTAATTCTAAATGAGGAGTTACTTGCATTTTTTATTTACTTATTTAGCTAAAGTATCTTTAGAGCTTATTTTTATGCACTAGTAAAATTATGCATAGATGTGATAAAAATATTATTTGTTTGCTTGGTATTCGCGAGTAAACAGTCATAACTAATTTGTAGGTATAGGGATTAGGCATGACTAATATCGGCACTGCACCGACATCTATATTATTATATACCTAATATATAATACCCAATATATGATATATTATTAATATGATTATATATTGGGTTCCTTTTGACATTGACGACGGAAAAATTGTAATTATGCATTTTGACATTACGCATACAGATGGAATGTCTCTATTTATTTCCAATGGATTCTTCATTCCGATATTGTATATTGGATAACATATTCGTTATTGGGCCAATTTATAGATATTGTAACTAAAATATATAGATATTCCTAAACAATACCCAGCCTTAATTTTTTTTTTGCTGTGTTGTTTTTACAATTTTTACAATTTGTTGTGTCTTCCTTCAGGGTTTTAGGAATTTGAAGGAAGACACAACCTACTATTTTAAATAATTAAAAAGTATTAATGCTATTAGAATGAAGTTATCTTTTTATAGGTTTAAATACAATAAAGCTACTCGTATATTATAAGAGCTCAATTTGATTAAAAGTGGTAATCGAATGAAAAGTACATACCTATTTAAGTGTATATACATAATTATCAGTAGTTTTTTTTTAACATTACAGATTATTATTTTAACTTATGGTTTGAGAGAACGAAGGATGGTGGCATGTTAGTTTTTTTTTGTTTAGCACTTTCGTATATAGACACCTTCTTGAATATTGTGTATCTGTGCACGTAATTTTTAGATTAAGGTAAATTATATATTAATAATAAATGTATAAATTATATATTGTAAAAATGTGTTATTTGTAATAGCTATTACACATTCGTTATTCTATTTATCACATTAGCCGTTGATTTGTCTGTTGTTAAAAATTGGTCTTCTCTCTAGACTTTATTTAAAAGGATCCCGAACCATGTGCATTCATTCTCAACACATTTGAAGTTTTTGTTTTATTTTGTGATGTTATCTTACATTGCGTTTACCGGTACGGAATCACCACTAAATAACCTTTGTTCATCCGTCAATTATTGGTTATTCGAGCTTATTGTTTCCTCTATAACAGTGATGATTTGCTAATAAATATATTTTATTGTTATAGGCATGTACGCACACGTTCTTTGCAAAAGGCAAAGTCGCAAAAACGCAGATTCCTATGGTACTCCCTACATGCATGGAGTGTTGCGGTGCTCCTGACACTCGCAACCTTCCTTTTGGACGTGTATCCTATTTCACCTTTACTAGATGCAAACATGGGGAACGGCAATTGTTGGTTTGGGGTTGTTGGTGAGTAATTTTTTGATGTAATAATAATTGCGGTAATATTTATAATCTTTATTCTATTTTTGATTTTTATCGGCACCTATCTAATATTTGTCAGTTCGAACTAATGGGCAATATTTCCCTTTTCCTTTAGTAAGAAAGAGAAATGAATAATTTAATTCAATCAAGTATTAAAATTTCCACCATTTAGAAAAATCTCAAATCAATAGATGAGATTAATAAATTGTGAGAAGACTTATGTTTTAGAAGAATACGAAAATAGGTATAGATGATGTAGAAAATTGGAAGACATGTATATATATATATATATATATATATATATATATATATATATATATATATATATATATATATATATATATATATATATATATATATATATATATCTAGGTATAAAAAAGGTCAAACTCTCAATTACCTTATGTAATTATTTTATCCCAATTACTATATATATTTATAAAGTTCTAAACATTTTTAAAGGTTTATTAGAAAAAAGAATGTACCTAAATATAATTGTAGATTATCTTGATTATTATTTTTGGTACATTATATTTTGAATTTCTCAGCGAATTAGTCAAAAAATATGTTATTATTAAGTACCTATTGGGTATATTCAAACTATATATATATTTTTTAGATCAATCCAATAAAACCGACTGGCCGCATTATATTCTCTTCGTAGCACCAATGGGTATAGTGACGTGTACGAATTTCGTGTTGTGGGTGTTGACCGCGCGTCATTGTGCTCGCGTCAAATCCGAGGTGCACCGACTTCAAGCTGGTTCGGTGGGAGATCGAGCCAAGCGACGTTTCAGAATAGATCAGGCCAAGTAATTTTTTTTTATAATATTGCAAGTACAGGTATTATTAGAAAACTATTATTACCTTATCTTAAAAATAAATATTAAAAGACTAAAAGTGTTAAAAAATAAAGTTATTTGTGTATTTTGGATTACATACCTACAGAGCCTATGTGCAAAATTTCAAATTTCTTGTTGTTTTTATTTTGTAGAGTTACTTAAATGCTTAGGTAAAAAAGTAACGCACGCTTATTAGATAGTATAGCGATTGTCACATATGTGGAGATCACAAAATTTACTGTTATGCCATGTCATCATTCCTGGTGCCTAAGTTATGCTTTTTGTGCCAAATATTGCATTGACTATTTTATTTAAATATTGAAGACTAAAATATTATTACAGCTATTATTTGATCATCACATAGAAATATCAAATAGTTCATTGGTATCGTAAAAATATTCATAGGTACTCGTATTATGTAAAAGAAATATTTATTTTCAATGCTAGATTTTAATAAACCCTGTAAAATTGAACGTGCGGTGGAATGCAACATTCCAATACGCAATCAATTTTCGCGGAAAAGTCTATCTATTCGTTTATAACTTGTATATACTTTCGTAACCGTCTTACGTGTTTTGATGTTTCTATTTACATTTTAACGTATCAAAAATGGAGCAATATTTAAATAAATTATAATCGGTAAATAATCAAAGGTCACAGCGTAAAGAAGCGTTTAGGTAAAAATGTAGGTTTTTTTCATTTTTTATACAACTTAGAATGGCAAACAAGCTGACGGCCCACTTGATGGAAAGTGGTAACCGTCGCCTATAGACATGAGCAGTATCATATACATAACAGAGTATACTGTTTTACCCATGATACCCCTCATCCATTCCTGAGGACTCAGGTGTTATTCCTCTGTACCCTATAAATTCACGCTATATCCCACCCTTCAAACCGAAACACAGCCATGCAAACACAACTGTTTTACGGTTGAAACACGAATGGCACAGAGGTACCCAAGCAAACGACTTTTGTACAAGTCTCCCTCGCAGTCATTTTATGCTTTTGTGTTATATGATTTCAGTAAACTATTTAAGCTATTTTTTTATTAATTATTAAATATTTATATAATTTATGTTAACAATGGTGTAACTATATACAGAAAAGTGCTTGAGACATTTTTCATTCCTTTAAAGAGCGCATACGTATCGATTGAAAATTCTGCACTTATGTCATACTATCATACAATCAGTGAATACGTGTACAAATTCAGGTCTACGTAATTGTTTTAATATCAGAATGTTTATTTTAATACATATATATATATATATATATATATATATATATATATATATATATATATATATATATATATATATATATATATATATATTTTTTTATTTTTAATTGTAAATATTTCTAAATACTCACGATTAGGTATTTACTAGACTTCAGGAATGGTAATGCATGAATACTATTTATGGGCGTCACAGTATACTCTTTGATGTCCATGCCACTGTTCATGTTATTGGAATTTTTATATGTAACAAAGAACGGCAAATAATGTATTCACTTATTTAATTGAAATTGGTAACTCTTGTCTATAGACAAGAATAGCTCCTTGAACATTTTAGAATACAAGTTAAGAAGAACAAGATACATTGTGCAACTGGTTAAACAAATATTTTTTTGTTATATAATAAAATGAGTATGTGTAGAATAACTCGCCAATGAGACTTATTGTGATTCTTACAGATATATGTTGACTGGCAAGTTATGGGTGGTGATGGGTGCAGGTTGGGTTTCTGAACTACTTTCTACTTTTATGCAGCAACCTAAGTGGCTCTGGTTCGTGGTTGACCTCTTAAATGAACTTCAAGGCGTCTTTATCTTCATAATACTGATATTCAAGCCAAAGCTGTACTACCTCATCAGGAAGAGATTAGGTATGTATCTATTTAAACACTTGAAAATTGCTGGACAAGAAGTATCAGTAAGACTTTTTTACTACCAACGTATAAATTTAAAAAATAACATATACCGCCATCGTTTTTTATTCAAATAACCAGTAAAAATAGATTCTTGAATGCTTTGATTCATATACCATCTCTTTTTTTCTCCTCTGGATTAGACATTTTTTTTTTAAATTACAAAACAATTATATTTTTCATCCAATTTATTTATATTTACCCACAATGCAACTTATCTTTGTTATTATATGCATTAGCAGGATCTTATTGTCTATATGCTATATATATTATAATATCTAGAGAAAATAGCGAAAGAGAATTCTAAAATATATATTAAAAATGGTAAGTCAGAATTTTGCATTTTTTTATATTATAGTTTACATTATTTTCTGTTTCAAAAAGATGTCGACAAGAAAGCCATTTATGATTATGTTTTTGTTGAAGTGTCAAAATTTTATAATTTGCAATTTTCAGATATTGTCTTTTTTAAAAGATTTTCTGTTGCTAGATTGATTAATTGTGATAAAAAGTATAAGGGAATGTTACATTAGTGTCAGGCATTTAAACTGAATGTCAGATGTAAGAATAACAATACAGATATACAATATTCGCGATTGGAGGGGTGCAGGAATTAGGAGAGGCCTATCTGAGGGAAGAGCCAAGAGTTTTAGGAAATGGAGTATGTATGAGACAATTAAAAAAGTAGATAAAATAAAGTAAAAGATGTATAGAAGACCTTTGATACTCGATTCTTTTCATAAAAATTTTGTGCGAGAATAGATAGAATTTATTGTAAAATAGTAAATATTAAATTGATAAAATATGTACAGTATAGATTTAGAACATTAAGAACAACTTTATAGTAAGATACTGGTGTCATAGAAATATATATTCTAAAAATGAAAGCAGTTGTACATGATTATTACAATAATATTATTTCTACTACAATTTGTATTGACTATTTACTTTAAATTTTATTATAATATCGTGATTTGAGAACAGCCTATATATTCATTCCTGAAATATCGATATATTATATTGTTTTTCAGGTTGTTCAAGAATTCCAATAGACGCAAGTATGTACTAACATTGTACCAACTGTCGTTCTTCTTTTATTCGCCTTTACCTTGTTTTTATTAATTAATTTTCAATACTACTTTGGACGTAGTCGATTGCCTAATATTTATTTAGTCATGGCTTTGTCTAACAAACAATTCTAGTGAATTAACTACCTAACACAAAATACCCTATTACTCATTGTTATCAAAGGTTTAGTCAATATTTATCTTTTCACTATGCACTCAAAGGTATGATATTATAATTGTATGCACAAGTGAAGCACCTATTACTTGACAATTATTACTTATAGCTTGAATATTTTTGTGCTTACATATATTGTTATTAACTACCACTAATATGAACAGGGTTGGAGAAACCGGATGTGCGGAAGAATGGTCCTTCTTCATCTTCTGCTCGTACGTCCTCTACCTACTTGTCTCGGACCATCAGCCACGAACCAGTGAGAATATCTCTGGTTAATAATATGAAGCAGAATTAAAAATAAACAGAATCTATACTTAGTCATTCCTTTTTAATGTTTGTCTTAACAATTACTTATGTATGTCACGCATTGTGTGATTTTTGTGACTTAATCGCCGATAATTATGCACAAACTGTGTTTTCTAATAATATTTCTAAGTATTTTTTGTTATCGTTGATGATAACATAATCTATTGCTAGCATGTCCAATTTATATTATGACTTGTTAGTCTGATTTAGCATCTCACTTAAGTAGTTTTGCTTATATCGCTTTTAGATTCCCAACATTTTTTAGATATTACTAAATATAAGTGTATGACTGATCTAGTCATAGATTAAGTTTAGGAATATTCTAGTTTATTATAGTGTTTATTATTAAGTGTAAGTCGTAGAAAACATTGCATTTGATTGAATTGATTTGTCTTTTTTTATAATTTGAATTTAAATCCATAATCCAGGGTTGCCAGATGCTATTTCTAATTTTGCCTAGATGTCAAATATTTTTTCTTCTATACGATATAATTTTTTTCACTTCTAATCATTTACAAACGCGTGTTGATTTCCACTATATTTCGATATATAACGACAAATTTAATGTAAACAAAAAAAAAGGCCTTCTCTATGTTTAATTTATCTTATCCTTTGTTTTACTACCTTTAATGGTATATTTGGTTATATTTATATCTCACTGTATGGTTCACAAATTACCCAAATTTCTCCTAGCCCATCTTACTTTTCTCTAAAATTTTGCGAACATCAAAATTTTTTCCCCAAAATTGTGAAAAAACCCAATCTGGCAACACTGTCGCGGTCCTATTTTGAGAAAAAAAAAATATTATTAAGAGTTCATGCTACTTTATAGATATGATATAGAGCAATTTTTAAATTTTTTTGTCGTAGGTACTGACGTCACTAAATCTAAACTATATATGTACCTAAACCTATAGATAAAAGTTGTTTATTTCTTTTTATAAAAATTCCAAACCTCTGAAATGTCTTTCAATGTAAATTGTGGTTATTACCATGTACCAACCTAGATCAGACAGTTTAGATTTTTTTATTTGTATATCTATGTACGTCTATTAGCGAGAACTATCTTATGTTTAGTGTAAGTATATACCTGTATTAAGTGTACCAGCAAAAGAAATACATGTATTCTTATAGTGCAACTTATGTCTATTATTAATTAATTATTAAAACAAGTTGGTTTCGCTTAGCAAATAAAAAAAAAACACGATTGCCCTACAAAAATACAATTAAAAAAAATAGTGTCACTACGAATGCATTCATACCTGATTAGGCGTTTAGAAAGTATGGTAAAAAAATTCACATACATGACTCTGAAAATATTATTCTCCTTTTTTGGGTGGTCCTATAATAACAAAACATTTTTTTTTATTACAAAAAATATGTACCTCTTACTTGGTGGAATAAACATGAATGACACTGATATATTCATGTAGATATATTTGCAGTTACTCTCTGGTTAACAGATCCATTAATAAAAAACCTTTTTTTTTACTCATTACTATTGTCCTGTCATACATCTTATTACTTGGCGTTACAACAGTATTTTTCTTTCTTAGGAAATACATTGGAGATTAACATCGACAATATAAGGAACAAGTAATCTGTTTGATAGATGTTATATTATCGCTGTTAACAATAGTTAAGATATAGATACTCTTAGATATTATACATCGTTACTTAACGAGGCCATTGAGTCATCAAGTGACGTAGCTAGATGGCCAATAAAACGTATTAAGTATGAGCTTATATGATATATGGTGACTATAATAAAAAAATGGGCTTGTCCGTTGGTTGCTAGCTAAATGGCTAATTAATTAATTTACATGTATGCTGTCGCCAAAGTTCGATATTAGGACAGATTATTTTATGTTTAGTTAATTATTTATCTTGTCTATTTATTTTTACGCTGCGATCTTGTGTAAAGAGCCCGACGCTTAGCAAAAAAAAAAAACTTACTTTCTTTGTAATTGGTCATTTAAAATTAAGATTGTATTATACTATGTAGCAAGTTATAATAGTTTGTACGTGGGACACTCAGAAAGATTTGCGGCACTAAAAAAAATGTTCTATAGGTAAATATATTTTTATTACATCTTTTCAAAGTACTCTCCACCAGCCTTTATACAAAGTTTCATGCGTCTGAACCAGTTTTCGAAATATTTTTTTTCAGTCTGCCGCAGACACCACGTTTACAGCCTGTTTCAACGTTGAGAGCGTATTATCCAACGACAAAAATGGTATTAATTTGAGCTGATTTTTGATTTTTGGGAATAAGAATTCACACGGTGCTAGGTCAGGGCTGTAAGGAGAGTGACCCAGGAGTTTGACCGGTATGAAACTATCCTCTGTATCCGTAGATGCATGTGTAGAATCTCGTGAAGGCTTCCTGATCCAATCTGCAGTATATGCTGAAATTCTTGGTATGTAACTCGCCCATTGTATTGGATCAAATTTTTCACTGCTAGCACGTTTTCTTCCGTAACAGCCGTCGAAGGGCGACCACTTCTTTCGACATCTCACAAAGTTAGTCGACCGCATTTAAACTCATTATACCAATGATACACGGTTGCCTTAGAAGGGCTTTCATCCATTGCCATTTGAAGTCTATCGTACGATTCGTTCGGTTTCAGGCGACACTTAAAGTCGTAAAAAATCATAATGCGAAAATGTTCTCGACGCAAATCCATTTTTCAATGAGACATGGTAATTTTAATTATCTCGCAAAAAATGTGGAGGGAAGTTTTGAATTAAGAACACCTATTTTTACTTATAAGTAATCATATTTTAAATAAATTATAATTGGTCAGTCTCACATACATAAAAACTTTTTCTCGCAATACTACAGTTATTATATAATAATTTCTAATTGCTTATTCGAGTCAACTAAAAAATCATTCGTATATATAGGCGACGATAACCATGATTTATCAGGTGGACTATCAGCTTGTTTGCGAATCGTATAAAAAAGGAATATCATCGTACTAGAGATGACTAGTCAGTGTTGGATTTTTGAGACTTTTTCTTTTATATGAGCTTTAGATTTCAGGATTGGTCTATTGTTATAAAAGTAATAAAAATCTTATTGTCAGCATTATGTGTGCAATTGTTAGTTAGTTGTGTTGATGCAGTCCATGAAAACATGACTTTGAGTTTGTTAATAATTTAAAGTACATACCCACCCACCAACTACTCTCAAGGGTCACGGGTTGGGATAATACTATATTTACTATATTTACATAGATTGTAATGAATTCATATATTTTGTATTCAGTAAATTGGTATAACTATAATGAAATTTTTAAGTTAACTTCTCATTTATTTATTAATATTTTGTTAGAAGTGTTTTAGTTCAGTGGTTATATTATTAGGTAATTTTCAATGTTTTGTTTAAAAAAATATAAATAAAAAGTATTGGTTACTTCAAACGTGAAAAAATACAGAACTACACTCTGTCAAACGCAAGTAGAATTACTATAATCGCTTTTCAATTGGTGAAGATATCCATATACTGTACATCAAATATTGCATTAAGGGGAATATGTTTTTCGACGAAGTTTTTATACAGGAACAGGATATATTCGAGGGAGACTGTACAAAAGTCGTTTGCTTGAGCATCTCTGTCCTATTTGTGTTTCTACCGTGAAGCAATTGTGTTTGTATGGCTGTGTTTTGGTTCGAAGGGTAGGATATGGCAGTGAATTTACAGGGTACAGAGGAATAACACCTGATTCTTCAGGTGTTATGAATACGTATGAGGGGTATCATGGGCGAAAGAGTATGTTTATAGGCGACGATTCCCACTTTCCATCAGGTGGGCCGTCAGCTTGTTTGCCATTCTAAGTTGCATAAAAAAAAGATATTTGGGTTTCGGTCATCAAGCAGTTGTGCTTCTACTGCTGTTGGGATATGGCTATATAGTAATCATTCATTATCATTTCAGCCGTTAAGTGTCCACTGCTGAACATAAGCCTTCCTCATAAGGGGAGTCTTTCCAGTAGTTGCCACGCTTGGCAACTGCAGTTAAGTTTTTAGAGATGTTTTAAGAGGGACACTGCTGCTCATCTCTCTACCATTAAATTACTTAGTTCGCTTCTTACGACATCTACAGGAAAGGTAGGGGTGGCCTATAGGGGTGTCGGGACTACACAGACAGTGGTGGTAATATATAGTTAAAAATAACAAAGTTTAAGGAGAGATTTGTCATAATATATTCTATGGTGTCTATGTTGCTGTTCATGTACTTTTGGTTTTTTAATGAATGATAAAATAATGGTCATGCCGCCTGTGCAATCGGTATACACTGGCAGGTTACCATTGATAGATGATAGCTGATGATGAAGGTAGGTCATTTGGCCTATCATAATAGATTCATTAAGCAATAGGTAACCACGATGTTTCCAGAGGGGATCGAACGGAGGTCGACTTGAAAGAATGTGCTGATTACGGTTACTACTTTACATCAACTGAGCAGTTTACAGTTTTAAGTTACAGCGATAAATATAATATATTTAAGGGATTAAAATAAAATTAACAACATGTTGCAATAATTTTATTGCGTATTTGTTTCAATTTTAAATACTAATAGTAGTTTTAATACAAATTCATGCTAAAAATATGGTCCCAGATTAGGAATGGATACGTGACAATAACTTGTTTCTGACATTAGGTATATATATTTTATGTTTAAAGTTATTCCCAGGAAGGTGTATTACTCTTGTTGATATTAAAAATATGAGTTTATTGCGTAAAGTGTACATGACGTTACTTTTTAAATTGTACAATCATGAAAAATTAGTTTGTCTTTTATAAATACCGAAAATAAGATAATAGACGTACCTATATAAAATTGCTTTTTCAAACAAAGCTTGTTTGGATCATATAGATCTATCGAGTTTTTAATCTAAATTAATGATTGATTTGATAAGACAGTAACATAACCATTATAAATTATATATTAGCATTCTAATATTAAGTTTAATTTACGTTTTAGGTAGATTTACTGCAAAAATTTAAAACTATACTATTATATATATACCTAATATAAGTACAACATGACGTTAAGTACGCATTTACGTTCTTAAATTTAGTAAATTTACTTACAACTTAGTAAAATTTGTACCAAATCATTAAATTAGTAATTTTGTTTCCTTCATACAGACAATACTGATCAGAATAAACATAAATTAATTAATTAATACACTTATACAATATATTTAAGTACTTACAAAAATATACGTTCTCAGGGTGTTAACAATAATAACTCTTATGTAGAATCACCTAATTTTTAGCGAGGTTTGTATTTGCCATAAAAAGCTATTAAGTATACATTTTTATCACAATGAACCTAATATACTAGTTAGTTATTACACTCGGTGATTACAATAAAATTTCGATATATTAAAGTACTTGTGAAATTATTTACAATAATCCGTAAGTGACGTACTTATGCGTTAACTACATCACAGTATTTGATACAATATCACTGGACTTGTTTTTCTTAGAGAACTATTTAAATTAATCTTGCAGCACTTGGTAGAATATCTCTTTATGTAGATACTCATATTGTTTCTAAATTATTTCATTTATTTATATGACATATCAAAAAAAAAACCAGCAAAATATTTTGATTACTCAATAAAGTGCATTTCACAGTAACGTTACGTATTAATAATTCACCATGAAAAAACACAACAATAATTAATATTTTCACGTTAGCATAAAGCTTTAGAAGTCTAACTACGTAATACTCATTGGACCATCTATAATTTAGTATAAAAATAATAACATTCTAATACAAAAGACATGTTGACATACTATACAGTCTATTACAAGGAATAAATTTATTATTACTACTTCCGTGACTAATAGAACTATTTCGTGATATTACATTACGTACGTAAGAATATTATTTCGGCAGAAAAACACTAAAGAGCGCACTTGGTGGACGGCATCTACGTGATCGAAATATATAATCTGTGCTTATTGCACTTGTGACTTCAATTCACGAAGCAAACGATAATTGTTTTTACGAGTTCTATTCAAAGTAACAGCAACATACTCTCGCCGTCGCTTTCTGTACAGTTCACGTTTCATTTTTCTATATAATTCACTTCGCATACGATATTCGAGACGAAAGAGAAGGCATTGTAAACCGAGTCCAGCAATTATACGCTCAATTTTAGATGAATAAACTCGACGAGGGTGTATTGCTAGATTATTTGCCGTTTTAATTCGTCAAGTTCGATGGTTAGGTTGTACGGTAATAGGCGTGGGGGTGCTGAAAGCGGCCGGTGGTACTGGTGTGGTAGGCGGTGATTGTTGCTCGTTACCCTCGGCGTCCCGTTCTGCTACTTCCTCCTCGTCTATGATGGATATATCTCGAATAGAGGGCCGGTGAGATCGGCGCCATCCTGTATACACACAAATTATTTGTATATTAAGTAAAATTTAATAGGAACGTGATAGCGTGTTTACTAGTATAGGAGAATTTCATTTATTTACTAGCTCGTATGAGTTAATCTATAACATATTCTATGTTCTGTTCCAGTAGATATATACCAATTTTCATAAAATACGTTTAACCATGATTTAGTATCAAACATTCAAATCCTTATATCTTTATTATTTTTTTGATGGGTGAAAATGGAATGGTAACTTCGCCTGCGCTAATGGGATACGCTGGCGGAGCACCAGTGAAGGGTGATAGATGAGAATGAAAACAGGTCAGTTAGCCCATCATGATGAATTCATCAAGAATCAACCATGATAGTTTCCAGAGGGAACCGCGAGGTGGTCGACCTGGTTGGGTATATTGCTAGCAATGGGATTTTCAGTCTCCATCACTAACAATCCCTTTCCCCCCTCTTTATAATATTATACAAAGTACTCATAGTAAATACCCAACTTGTTCAAAGTTATAAGGCATTTTTAAGTACCTAATTACAAAGTAAAATTAGTATATCAATACTAAAAAAATATAATATAAAATAACGCAAAAATAAAATACAAGAAACATTACATTTCTCTTTTAGAAACTTATGTTCTAGCCCAATTATTGTCTTTTTATGACACACTGTTGGATTTTAAATTGTAATAACAATAAGACTGTTACGTAATGACTAATTAATTAAATGTATATTATTAAAGTAGCGTTCACGTTTTGTTATCGTCGTATAACGTATAAATACAGGATAATGAGTACATTTTAATAAGTAAATAAGGTCATAGTTTATATAGGTTAAATTGATTAAAATGTATTAAGTCGCTACAGTATAGCGGAGCGCGACAGGTTTCCAGTCGTCAAAATGTTTAACATTGCGCATCGCGTCTGTTTAGTAATCACTGTGTTACTGAACTATAAGTGTAATTCTATTGAAGTAAATAGAAAGTATGTGGAAGATATATATGAAGATAACCATAATATTATTGACATTTTAAAACCTATTGAACGTGACTTTCAGACCAAGGATAATTCAGTGAATTTTAATAAAATAGAACAAAATAATTTACATTACACGGCTAGTGCTATATATGAAAGTAAATACGAAGAAGCTTCAATAAATTCTGGACTTCGTAGAGTGAAGAAAGAAGAGAGTAGTGTACTCAAGAAACAACGCGTCGTCAGGCAGATACAATCTGGAAATTCGCAATTATATCCACAATTGTATCCCACGAATTCGTATAATCAAAATACGTCGTCCTACTATCCTACAAATCGTCCACAATATCCATATTCATATCAATCACAAACACCCAAGAATGGTCCATACAATATTAATACTCCAGTCTTTAATGCTTCCAACCATAGACCAGGATCAGCACCATTATACAATTATTCATCTTCTGGACAATATCCGTCATATGGCAACACTTATCCAGGACATCAATCTCGTCCAAATTCTTCACAAATAAATAACAACAGTACATATCCAAGTTATCCGTCGTATACACAACATTCAAGGCCTTATAGTAATACAACATCATATGGACAGTATCCATCGCAAAGTAATACTTTTTCAGGTTATCCATCTCGTCCTCAAGGTTCATATACGCATAACAATCCGCATTCAAATTATCCATCATATACACAGGGTTCAAGGCCTTCTAATAATTTGACATCATATGGACAGTACCCATCGTCAGGTAATACTTTTTCAGGTTATGCATCTCGTTCCCAAACTCCACACATGTATAATAATTCGCGCCCCAATTACCCATCATATTCACAGGATTCGAGGCCTTCTAATAATTTGACATCATATGGACAGTATCCAACTCAAGGATATCTATTTCGTCCTCAAACTTCATATAACAATAACTCGCATCCAAGCTTCCCATCATATACACAGGGTTCAAGATCTTATAATATAACAAATGGACAGTATGCATCTACAATAGGTCACACAATACAACATGGAACATATCCACTTAATAATACATGGAATTCCAATTATTCCGGATTTAATTCAACAAATCAAAAACCGTATAATAATGGTTATCAACAACCTTTCGGTAACTCTTTTCCAAGTTATCCACAAACTCAGGGACAAAAATCGTTTGGTACTAATCCTTATCAATTTAATCAGACATCAAATAACGCTGCGTATCCGTACAATCCAACAAATAGTAATGTGCAAACAAATCCCGATCAAAACTTTTTTTATCCTACAAATCAAAGAAATATAGCCACATACGACCCCAAAAAGAATGATCCGAACAGTTTCTCTTATCACTATTGATATGTTTGTTTTTGTAATTGATGTTTCTTATGATGTCAAGTAAACAAAGTATCATAATATTTGTGTTATTTAAAAACGATAAAAAGTAGGTGCATAAAAACTTTATACTGTAGTGGTAGTAAATAAATATTTGGAAAAAAAAATGTATTTTTTTTGGTAAATTTTTATAAATATTCAATCTAATAGCAATTTATAAAAATAATAATTTACCTTCTAAAACTGGAGGTTTCGTAGTCTTGGAAAGTAGCCTGGGTCCAGTCAGTGTAATGATGATGGCTCCTATTGGTGCGGTAATGACGATGGACATAATGCACACAGTGATGATGACCTCTGCGTAACCCTCGAGAACTGCTAGTTCTGATGGGTTTAAGCCGACTATTTTTCGTACCTCGTCTAAAGCTACTGGGCCTAATGCAGCCTGCGAAATACAAGAAAAATATTAAGGATGTCGTAAGAGCTAAGGTAACAAAGTACAATATATCACTGTAAGAAAACAGGAAAAAACCCTATGCTAAGTTGTCTGGCCAGCGGATTAAATGTCATTATGTAGGTAAATTGTTTATGGACGAGATTCGTAGTAGTAGTGGGACGTTAATGCATTATTGAGGATTAACAATCTATCTACAAATTTATTAATTTAAGAAAACTTCTGTACAATTTAAAATACAAAATTGTACAATTAGTGTATTATTCAATAATCTGTTTTAAGTAGCAGAATAAATATATTACTATTCAATAATTCACATAGATAATTATTTATATTTTAATTAGTTACCTTGATAGAGACTAATTTTACATGTAAAATTAGAACACCTTCTATACTGTTCAAGTGTAATAAAGTTCTATAAATAAATAAGTACATCGTTCTAATGATTTTATTGCGGGGTCACATTTCATCATTTGATATACTTGACAATGTAAACGACAGTTTGCGTAAGTTTTATTTGGAACAATTGCATACAAATTTCCAAGAGTGTTATATGTAGATAAACTTGTATATACCTGGACAGTTGCTTTCGCCATCCAAGATAATCCTACGAAGATCTTTTCCTTGGTGTTCAAGTTACTTCGCACTGCGCTCAAACTGGTAACAATTGCACGTAGAATTACGCATGTTGCTAATATGCCACTAGCGATAAGCACAAGTCGTATGGGTAATTCTGAAATCTGAAAGCGTGAAAATGGTAGTGTCACAAACGAACGTTAATATTCTGGTCAGATCATGTTTTCTGGAACTATAAAAAAATATTCTTATGTATAAATATACTTTAATAAATAAGTATATTTGTGTAGAGTTTTTTATACTAACTATAGAATTGCCATATAAATATATAATCATAGTTATTGGAGTATGATTATTTTTAATAATGACCTATGGAAACGAGGGACATCTAATTCGTGTAAAATATTTCATTTTATGGTCGTCTCGTTATCTCACAATATTAATGAATTATTTTGGGTATAAATTTTAGTCTTTCTGATCTAACCATGCAATTTTAGGGGGTTTATTATTAATTGATTAATTGCATTTACATGTCTAGTGCAATGTTAAATTACATTTTGTTACAATGTTACAGTAAATTGCTTATGTAGAGATATGATGATTACATTACAGAAAAGCATATCGTTTATGTCTTCTTAGAACAAAAAACAATAGCGGACGTATATTATTTTACCAAAGAAATACGTAGGTAAGTTATGAGATTTTGTATTTTGAACGTCCAATTAAAACATTGTTATTTATTACCCATTTATTTAATATATATGCATAGATTTGTTCTCATATATAAGTGAAACATGTGATTCAAAATAATTAATTTAAATATTGTACTCACAACTACTTGTGCTCCTGTTATTGAAAACAGCATAGGTTCAAAGAACATCCAGAAGATTTCGAAAGCGGTGGCTACTGGGTTGTCCTCTATTTCCCAACCGAGTTCTGACCAGTTTTTACAAGCGACAAAAGCAAAGGCAATCACTGCCAGTGGGCCTAAAACATACAAAATATATAAAATAAACAAGACAGCTTCAGAGTTACTCTTTATTACATCCTACGGTTTTGTTAGTTTGAATTTGTATAAAAAGTGATGGTTTATCTCTTTCAAATCAATTTAGCTGTTTAAGTCTAAATCGTGTCCTGGTTTTTTATTCCTGATATACTTGTTTGTTTGTTTGTAAAACTTTATTGTACAGTAAAGTCTTCAATTATAGAATAAAAAGTTCTTAAGTAAAGAATGAGTACAATGGTAGAGTTATCCCATAAAAGCGATTTCTTCTAGTCAACTGTTGAATGTTTGATAGAAATTGTAAATTATAATCATTATTAATACTTGTATTTTATTTATTTGTAATTAACTAGCTGGTTGGCTAAAATTACGTTCTAAATAGGCGGTAATGAAAAAAACAATTACTATTTAAAAATGCTTGAATAACTTGAATAACAATATTTCTTTCTTTCTAGATTTTAATTTCTATTGCTTTTTTATCATTTCCGTATTTAGTACTTCTGGAAGGAGTAATTCTGTATATATTTTGATATTGTAAATTGAAAAAAATATTTAATTTGTTTGTTGTTCTGACTACCATCATATTGATAAACTTAAGTATTTCTCGTTAGATTGCATTGTTCAGGTGTAAGCGACATTACCTATACGAGTATTACGGAAACAATTATCTGATGCGATTCATTTCAGTAAACAAAACTTACGGTTGTTAGAATAAACCTACATGTCTTTTATGTTTACGGTTATGTTTAGGAATTCTACAAAATCATTTGGTTAATTACAAAATTGTGAAAGGGTGGTTATTCTCTGATATCAAAAAATTTTAAGCCACTTTCGTTATACACCAAGGTTTCTGACGTGGTGTATCGGATGACGGCTTTACCCGTGTATAGAGTGTTCTTCAAAGCACGAAGCAAGTGATAATAATTTTTCTCAAACATGCTTGGAAATGTGAGCATTATTTTGATAATCTTCTTTGAGATAAATCAAAATTGCCGTACTGGCCACATACACGCGGGCACCGGCCGGCAAAAGTTGTATGAAAATCCATATCTGTCGTGTTTTGCGGCCAGATAAATTACTATGTAAACTCATATCTGTCCTGTAATTTAAAAATGGAATGACCTTTTACTTCGATACACGGCTACCAAGGAGGTAACTAATAAAAGGTTTTATTTTAATTTCGAACTGGCTTGCATTTGCAAACAGCTTTCTAATTAGAAAGCTGTTTATTGAAAAAAAAAAAAACAAAGGAAAAGAAGACATTATGGCGCGTGAAAAATTATTATTGTTCGTTATTCGTCATTGAACTTAAAAAGTAAAATTGTGTTTTTTATTTCCGCGCATTGTCTGAGAAAAGTACTATACAAGCTTTGGCCACAACTAGGTATTGATAGACTCACGTAAGTGTACCTCGGCTACGCCTCAGCACACATTTGCACGTTCGTCCATCAATGCCTCAGTTGCTGGCCGCTGCAGTAACGTACTACTAAACGATATGAATATGAATTTGAAAAATGCAGAGGTATGGTTGATATTCGGTCTTAGTATCTCCGTACCGCAGTTAATACTTTTTTCAGAATTAATAATTCTCTTGTCTGTTGTAGAGTAATACAGATGTAGAAACAATGCTCTATATTTTTGCCTTTTTAGTCTTTTTCATAATTAAGTAAAAGCTAAAATTATATTTTAATATATGCAGTTTTTCGCAACTCATGCTATTTTATCTTTCTTTATATTTTAATTTAGATGTTTATTTTTAATTTTTGATATTTTGATTTAGTTATATTATGGTTTAATGCAAATAAAACTCGGCAACGTGCGTATTAATTCCTTTTATTGTATTATATTGTAGGTATACCTATACTAAAGTAATAACATGCAAAGTATTGTTTTTTACACTACAGTGTCTAATGATAAATTGTTTTACTGTAACCTATATGGCACTGACAGCACTAAGGCGTTAAAAATCCACCTTATACGAAAGTAAGTAGGATTTGTTTGTAATATGAACTGCCGCCCCCATAGCCCCATTGCTAGTAATATACCTCATTAGGTCGACCTCCAATTGATCGTCCCTGGAAACCATCGTGCTGAATTCCTTGTGTATTCATTACGATAGACTAAGTGACCTGTCTTTTCATCTTATCTATCATCCATTACTGGTGCCCCGCCAGCATATACCGTTAGCGCAGGTGGGGTTACCATGCTATTGTCATCCATTAAAAAAACCCTCTCAGTTCAATAGGGTTCTTGCGCTAATATTAACGGGCTTGTATTTTTATATTTGTGGCTTATTAAAGCCAATTCTACTCGTATTAAGATTCTTGTAGTTTAGCGGGATTTTTAACCACCAGAGGTATCATATGCACGTCGCTAATCTCCAGGAAACCTTATTACGTTCATCTTGAAGAAGCTCTTTGATACGTTAACTCTGTGCACATGTTAAGTCTGATAGAGTTGAGAGGTTAAAATATCAGAGATGAACTTACCGGCACCACCCCATCCGATCTCTTCGGAACCGAGCACAGAGACTAATCCACCGGTAAGGAGTAGCAAAACACGAAGTGGCACCAGAAATGAATCATTTCTTTCCGGGACGTACTTGGCCAGATAACCACATAAAACTCCAAAGAATATACCACCGATGACACTTAGTGGACCCTAGAAATGTAAAAGGTAATTTTATTAACTGATAATTTCTTACTCGTTAGTGACTCCAAAAAAATAAGTTCTTAATTCGATTGTTTTTTTTTTTGTGTATATAATGCGATATAGCTGTTTATATTATTTACGAATACTGTTTATAATATTATTTATGAAATTACTATTTTGCATCAGTTTCAATTTAAATTTGCATATTTTTTTTAATTGATTTTGACAATGCTTTATAGTTTATTTTCGTGTAATTTTAAATTTCTAGTATACACTTTATTAAATTTTTTATTATTTGCCGAATAAAATGTTTCATCAAAAATAAACTTAAGTGATATATTGCTTTAAACTTTATAAAATATATGATTTATTTTTACATTTTGTTATATATTAACGATAATATATAATTAGTATAGTATGTAATCGGTATGTATATATACTTTAAGTATTGCATTCGAATATTATTTTGGGCATTATTATTTTATATCGGAATTGCAACAAAAAAAAAATAAGAGAGAATTCTATTGCAAAGTATTATGTTTTCTCGTCACATTTTTTGTTTTATGGGTTTAAATACCAGAAATCTTAACATGGATATCTTATCTTAATCATAATCTCTGTATTAAAAGTATTATTTATTTTGTTGCCTGGTACTGATTCTGTGCTAATACCATATTAATTTTATCAAGATTAAAGTCTGTTTTTTTCGTAAAACAAAATTTGAAAGCATAGATAATAAAATTGTTTAAGTAATATAAAGCTGACGTAAGTGTTGAACTTGTAAATGTTAAAAAAACTGCATTTTATACCAGAAACAAGTTCTGCAACAAACATAACGGAAGTTAAATTGTTATGGTAGATTAAAGAAAAAAAAAATGACACCAACTGCTTTAACTGGTTAAAGAAACTTGTATATATATACAAAATACGAAAGTAGTAATACAAGTGTGTAGGTACTTAATGTCAAATCTACTAGTACAGTAGATTAGATTTAATGTTTAAAATTTTGTTACACAAAATATTTCTAATGCAATCGTTACTTTGAATTTAACTAATACGAGAGAAAACCATATGATAATTCAAACTCGTACATATACATACAGAATATACATAGGTATTATAGATATACAATTATGTTCTCTACGTACGTTTGTATATTAATTTTTTAATACACAATGGAATCATAATCATTAACGCTGTTTTAAAAGAGTATTCTACTAATGAAACTCATTTTAATCCTTCTATATTAACACGGCGTGTCCAGTTATTAAGATCGTTTGGTGAAAATTCTTTATTCATCACATACATTTGTACATTACAGTTAGTATGTACAAATGTATGTGATGTATAAAGTCAATATTATTCTATTAATGAGACGATGAATATTCATTAGTAGAATAATAAATGAACTCTAAATTATCGTTTTTCGTTCCAATTTATTTAAGGAAAATTTTCAGTTTCACTAGTAGAAATTTCTTTAGAGAAAATGTTATATTTCGTCAATAGAATAATTCCGTTCACTTCGTTTTCATACCTTTTTAGTAGTTTTCTTTTCATAGTTTTCTGAAATCAAGTTAAATGTAAAGTTTCGTATTTCTCCGGTTTGAGTTGTTCATACTTACTTGAATAATGTTCATAGTGAGTGATGAATTGGAAAACATAACACCGGAAACAATGCCGAAAACGGCTACGCTGGCGGCGTCATCAATTCCTGATACAGCGAGCACAAGGGTGGGTATACCCTTTGAGACGCCATAACCCTTGCTACGCAACCGGAAAAGGCACGGAACGATGACGGCGGGAGACACAGCCGCGACTATAGAGCCCAGTAGAAAAGCTGGAAGAATATTAATTATGTTATTTGCCTGTAATTTTTTCTATAGTTCAATTTACGATGCAAGATTGCAATTTGTACTGTTCAACGGATAGGTTGGACAGTACGAATTGCAATCGTCGCCTATCGACATGAACGTGGATATAAGTTTATATTAAAAAAATATAACGAATTATCTAAATGTACATGTATATTATGTAAATTATTTAATTATGTAAATTAATATGTACATAATTTATTGAAAAGTAAGATTTAAAACAAGATACCAGTAGAATATAATGAGTACCCCCGCGACTTAATGCTGAGTTGGTTACTCATTCTCCTATGCGGCACATAAAACTTATTTACGTTTTGTTTATAAGTTCAAAAAGTATGTGCTTGTAATAGTGAATTAGTAATTTATCTATTTATCTAAATATGGCTTTTATATAAGACGTGGATGAATTAGCAAGTTTTGCTGATATAATCTGCTCAGCTAATTAATTACAAATAATGGTATTAAGTTATTAGAACAAAGAATTCGACATAAATTATAACAAATTTTTATATGGTCTTCTGAAATAAACTAATTAACAAGATATTTATTAATGTTATAGGAATAATAGAAAATACAATTGAATTGATAAAAAAAAAATTAAACCATGTAAGTTAAAATTTTTATTAACTAGTTTTTAATTAAGGTGAGTGGGATATATTGATTGATCAAAATAAAAAGTAGTTCATCCCAAAATTTCATGTGCATACAAAATTTTACGACGATTGTTTGAACTATGAATGCATCAAGATGTAACAAACAAACAAATAAACACACTCCCATCTGTAATAATACTATGTAATTAGAGCGATTGGTACAGCCATCCTATTTATTTTTATGTAACATTCTAAGGCATAAAGTATTCTATGTTATACCTTTTATGGGTGCGACTAATAATTGCCAATTATAACACGTGGAAACAACGAGCAGGAGCTTACTTAAAGATAAGAGATTACCGTTGTTCATAAGCACCCACAACACTGAAGGAATTAAAGGAATTAATACATTTAAATATATTTAAACTTTTGTACTTCATTGCATAGATAAGTCGTCGTATTACATGTAACTAATTTTGCTTTTTACGTTCTTCTACTACCGACATTAATATTGTTGAGCAATTTTATGCGATTAAATGCTATAGAAGTTTTGGAAATTTGAATATATTTATTGACTTCTGGTGCGAATTGTATAAAATATATGTGTAAAAGATCCTATGTTGTGGAATATATATATATTTAACCAAACTATATATAAATAATATTTTTTATTCAAAAAATAAAAAAAAGTAAACATTATACACATTAAAAACTTTATTTATTATTTCAGAATCAACAGAAATCAGCACATAAGTAACATATAACTTTTGTTACTTATACTATTATATTATAAAATTTCTATTTACTTAATATACTTATTGCTGTTTTTCTCTCGCGGGATTTACTACATAAATGTAGGAATTGTATTTTGCTTTTTTGTTGCGTTTTGTAAGACTGTATTTAGAAGACCGATCAAATTAATTTATAAAATCAGACTACTAATGAAATAAAAAAAAATAGTTACGTAAATATTGAACTTACCCCAGTCCCATGGTAAATCGAGTAGAAGGTTCGCCATTACAGAACAAAGTATACATTCAAAGATCCACGGCACTAGTGCAAGTTTGATCACGGTGAAGAAGAATTTCTTCATGGCATGTGGGTCTAAGTCCATTCCCGCTCTAGTTAAGATTATAGTTAAAGCGATTTTTCTGAAATTGTAGTAATCATTTTTTAGTACTTATATAGTTAACCTACCCTACATTGCTGGAGGGAATAAACTCTGTCCGGTCGGTCCCCATTGGAAACCATTGTAGTTAATAATGTCGTATTATCTCTTACTAGCACTCCGTTAGCATATACCAACAGCATATAGGCGGTTTGCCATTTGAATAAAAAAATAAAAAACGTATAAAATATCACAGTATTTTTAAATAATAGTCAAAATAATTACCTAATGTATGAACAGACATGCAAATAATCTGTATCAAAGTTGACAAAGCCTATATTTTTCATAACAATCCCGACTATCAGCATTCCGATGAGGGCGGGCAGTGTGGTGATTTTGACCATCAGCCAGCCACCGAAGTGTGCCGCGATGGTAAGTACCACTAGCATAAATAGCTGTCCGCCTGGTGCCACCGTGTTTCCCATCACTATCCATACTATCAACCATACCAGTATACCTGTTAAAAAGAAATTGTCTCTTAATCATCAAATTCATTATATTGTATATAGGAAGTGTGTAAATATGGCTGAATGTTTGCTACGCGCTGTTTGCGCAGCTTTACTGTCATTGTTTAAAAATAGGTACAGAACTAATATACAGAAATTAAAGTAATCTTCTATTGAACCATTGATTGTTATTAGAACTAGTTAGATATAATATCATAATTGTATATTAAGATTTTTTCATATTATTTTGTATTGTAAATTTATCTGAATATTTTATTATCATCAAATTTCAAAATTGATTTAAAATTGGATTGAATTGAGTCTGTTATAAATTAATATGAATTATTCTATTTTATTTTACTTTATTAAGAAACTATATAACTTACTAAGAAAGTATATGGAGGAGGCCTTTGCCTCAAGGCACTCTGTGCTACGAGACTCAATTTCAGTGGAAATAATAATAATTAAAACATATAATTTTGATAATATAATATTACTATTTCATAATATATAGTTTATTTTTAGTGAAAAAAATATAATGTATGCATACAATATTAATTAAAATCATACAGTAAATTTTGTATAATATTAAGCGCAGAATAAAGGCTTCTTTATCTTTAAAAAAACTACAATATATACTTATTAATTTATAATTGTATGATTATCGATTACATGCCAAACTATTTTTAATAACAATCCAAAATTAATATGTAGAATTGTTACATTATTTAAAGTTTTGTTAATTAATACTTGCTTACGATACAATAATCTTATAAGTCCTCTTCATAAATTATATTTGTTATTATGCAATAAAGAGTAAATTGAAAATAAAAAAAATATATTTACCGATGATAAACACTGATAATGTTTGTGCGAATTGTCTGTAAGATGGGCATAGTGGGTAAGGGCATATTTTTTGCCAGTTTGGTGGTTCCCACGAAGGAATTCCGGAATCTTCTTGATGGCACTTCTGGCAACACGCATACCACCAAGATCTATGAAAAATATTATCAAACAATTACGAAAATGTTAAAAAACCCTGAAGTTTATCAGGTTTTAGGGTGTTGGTAATTTACCTCTCTACGTGTTCGCTTTGCTGTGATAATGCTTTCTTCGAGTATACGGAGGACGTTGTCGAATATTTCTTATACCTGCCTTCGATATGCGCCGGTCGGTCTGGGAATAAGCAGACGAGCGTCACGTAAAACAAGTGTAAGTCGAGTGTGGACAATCGATGAAAATGCCCGTGTGAATACACCGGTGGTTTCCACGAACACCTGTTCATTTCTACCAAGCACACCACAGTCTAATTGTGGTATATTTATCTATCGTTAATTATGTGCATAACTTATGCTTGTTTTGAATTTAAAATGTTCAATAAATTTGTTCTACCCAAATTCCTTTCAAAAGTCTTTGCGAAGTGAGACAAATTTTGAGCATTTAAACACGTCGAAAATTTAAATATAAATTATTATACATGCAAAATAAAATATTTTTTACTTTGAGGTAATTTTTACACATATTCAATAATTATAATTTAAACATTTTTGTCTTTACTGTAAATATAGAGGAAAGAGACAACACACCCCATGATGTGTCCATTTCTGCTGCCATAGCGTTGTGTAGATTGCTCTTGCGGCGCGATGGCCCCTCGGCAGATGTTGATACGCGGCCATTCCTGAAGATGGGAAATTTTTTTAGTAAAAGATTTTTTTTAATTATTAATGGATTATAAAAGTAATATTTTCTTTATCATCATTATCGTCATATAAGTCTTTAACTATCCACTGTTGAACATAGACCTCCCCCTTGAGAGGTTTTGTCACAGGGATACTGCTGCCCATACCTGGATAATTAAATTCATTTAATCGCCTCTCATGACATCCAGGGGAAAGGAAGGGGTGGCCTATTTTATGCTGGGACAACACGGCTGTTCTTGACTTTGGAAATGCATAAATTGTCAATTGCAATATTTTTCAATATTTATTTACAATGTTATATTACTTAGATTGAAGTAAATACAAGCATAGATAATACATATATAATAATCGGATCCAAGTATAGCATCCAAGAGAGTATTCTGTTAGCGAGATTGAATAATTTTGCCTAAGAAATATAAATCGAAACATGACAAAATATTTAGAGCCTTAAGTATAAACGACATCCCAATGTTAAGTTTATATTTGGAATTAACATTTTTTTGTCGTGTTTCAACCATATAAAGTAAATACTAATGACATAATGCAAATAGTTATTTAGCATTGTATTATGCTGATTGATTGATTAGTCATATGTACACTATACTTATAAAATTTTAACACGAAACAACTGATATAGTGTATAAATTTTTTGTAAATTTTACTCAGTATTATTTGTTTATGTATAATAGTAGATAAGAAAAAGATATAAACTAGAGAAAATGCTCTGTAACATTAACTCGTATGCCATTAAGGTTTATACGGAGAACGTCAAGGGTAGAATGATTTCTATTTAGATCATACCATATTCTCTCTAAGGTGACAATACTTTATATCGTAGGCAAGGCAGGTGTCTTAGTATTTTATGTACTTATACTGTAAGATATCGCAATGGACGCTTTTATAATTTATAGTAGCACTACACAATATGGTACGATTTTATTGTTATTAAATAGGAAAGCGAAATGTAAATATTATGCAATTAATCGTCAACTGAAATTAAAAAAGAAGAAGGTTTTTACTTGGACTATATTTTGTTAGTATATCATACCATACTTTCACTAAAACTGAATTGATTTTGATAAATATTTTTGTAATTATATCGTGTTTATTGATCGTCACTATAAATAATATTGTTAAAAAAATATTAAGAATAGATAGATAGATACTCTTTATTGTTTCCTCCAAAAGATTACAATAGTAAACTTATTATAAATATAAATAATTACAAGAAATAATCACAATGAGAAAACAATGGGCGACCTTATCGCTAAGAGCGATCTCTTCCAGGCAACCTTTGGATGAAGAGGAGTAATTATAAACAATTTGAAGTTTAGTACGACAGAAAAAATTTACTAAAAACGAAAGTATTATAAACTTCCGTTATATTAGAAATTTTTTGATTTGATTATGATATTGTTATAATGATATAGATAAGACTTTTCCTTTTTGTGGTCTAAAATGATTTATACCATTTAATTTTAACATTGCTATACAAATGTCTAGTAAATATAAAAACATAAAATATAAAAATCTTAAGTTCACATTATTATTTAACAATAAGTTTTTGGATTCAAATAAAATTATATATACTGCCTGTTAAGAATTATGTAACATGAATTCTGTTACAGAGGAGAATTGGGTAGAAAAAATAGTAACCCCGTTTTTATATTGCTGTACGTTTGCGGTTCACCAATAAGTGATGCTCCGTGAGGATGAAGTTAGGTCAAATAGCATATCGTGGTGAACTTGCTAGGAATTAATCGCTATAGTTACCAGGAAGGTCACTCGGAAGTCGACCGAACAAGGTAGGGTAGTATGTAACTAATTAATAACGACTGACAAGTTCCTTGTAAAAATTTTGTAGTACAGTCAAAGTTCTATTAATAAGTCGGTCTAAGTTAAACTCACGTTTGTGAATAGTTTACGAACCCACATTACGATGGTATATTTGTTCACATGCCGTCACACTCAAGGACATCTTTTTGTAAAGGCAATATGGAATAAATTTGATGTATCGAAACATATTTTATCCAATAACTTTAGCGTTTTGTCCAGTTACCAGTTCTACATTCGGTCTGGTATTTATTTCAGCGTTGGTCCAATACCTTCTTAGTTTTTAGTCTTATTGCCTAATTAATTTACTAACTAAAGAAGTCAGGGTCAAATTCTGAACCGTAACAGTAAAAACTACCTACTACCGTTACCGATTAATAACTTACTAGGTCACCTTGATGGAATAATACCATGTTGTACAATGTAGATTATTATAGAATAGTATAGTATAATTTAATTGTGAAAATTATTAATATTGTAACTGTGAACATGTTGTTTGTACTTTCTTACTCATCGTCACGATCCATAATGACTTAAACTAATTGCTATGAAATTTTGAACAGGCACTATGTGGAATGGCGAAGGAGATATATGTGTATATATATAGTTTACTTTTTATCCTGGTCAGTGAATATATACCGGTCACACGGACGAAGTTGCGGGTGAAAGCTAGTTTAAAATAAATATCGATGTTTGTATGGTTTAAAATAATAGGTTGATAGCACACCCTACAGAAACCGTCGTCTTGAGCAGTACCGTATACTTATACGGCACGACAGAATATACATAAAGCATTATGTTTTTCGTAGTTACCATTGACGTCATAGCGTGTTATTATTTTGTGGTATTAAGTTTTGGGATATATCTCACTCTCTTAATCGAAATACAGTCAGGCAAGCATCGTAGCTTAGAGGCAAAAACTACTTGGTACTCATGCAGACTATTCTCCCTCTGACCTAATTAGAATATTATTATGATTTGCACTGATAACTTAGGACTCCAAAAAAGAAAAATTACTTTAATTGTGATAAAATAAGTTATTTTACTCTAAAAACTAAAAAACTAAACCGATTTGGATAAAATTTCTATGGGACTAACCTGAAAGTACCTAGATAAAAAAATAATCTCAAATTAATTTGTAAATGATGGATTTATGAGGTGACAAACATAAAAAAGTCAACAAAATTGAGATTCATTTTTGAAGTCGATTGACAATGGAAGAAAATTGTGTCAAAATAAAAAAAAAAACTAAATTTAAGATTTCTTATTTTCTTTTTGTTTAAATTTTTTATTTTATTATTTTTTTTTTAATTTATTATTTTATTTATAAGCATTAGTTATAAAAGGTGGTAGACAGAGTAATGGCAACGGAAAAGAACATAATGATGTCGTGCAGTAGGTCAATGTTTAATCTCTGGGTTAAACTGATCACAGGTGGAGTACAGCATATCTAGGGCACGTGCATTTATAAACTATACCTATCTGTATCTTATTATGTATTTTGTAGAACACATAATCAAGGGTAATAATCATAAGAGCAAATGTTTCGTTATAAATGAAGTCATGTTATGTTTATTACAGGTAGCATGTTTAGGTATAAAAAATTACATTTTTATTTCAATTAGTTTAATTAGAAATCTGTTTAATATTACAACTTTTTTGTTTATAGAAAAAATTAACCTATTTATATCAATGAATAAAAACAATTCAATAATTGTATTTCTTTTAAATGTTATGACAGTTCTGCTAAAATTTATGGCTCACTTTAACATTTTAATGTTGTAAATTTTATGTTACAATATTCGTATCTTCAAATGCCCAATTCATTGAAACGATAACAATTTTATGTACACATTTTTATCGTTCACAAATAGATTATTTGAAGAATTTGAATTTTTTTATATATGATTTTCACATATATCTGTGTGATCGTGATATTATAACAGTTACAGGCAGAGGCTCGCAGTTACTTGACAGTGAGTTGCTGTTAACATTAATTTTAGATGTAGATGTAATTACATAGGATGTTTCGTATTTATAATAACTAACAGCATAACTAGCAGCGTAAAAATGACTATTTACACATGTGAAATTTTTACAGTTAAATATTGCTTACATTATTATACAGTATTACTTGTATTAATTAGTTTTTTTTTCTTGTTATATATAGTTAAATTTATTTTTATTTTCTCAATCGTAATAACTCTTCTAGAGTGTACTGGCTCTGAATAGTCAATGTTTTTGACATTTAAAAAATCAAGTGACTCATGTATGGTGGTGGGTCGGCTTGTGTACAGTGGCGCAATATGAAATGGTTGCATTATGTTGTAATGTTTAACATTATAACCTAACGGTAAGTACAAGTAGGTTTCAGATCCTGGTCGCCAAATATTGATTTTTGAATCGATTTAAATTGGAAGGTTGAATTCATGAGAGATGAATTCATGAATAAATTAACGATCAAAAGATGTATCTCACGAAAATTGATTTTGATTATTTGATGTGTAGTATGATATATAAAAATACATAGGGAAAGCAATTTAAAAAAAAAGAAAACCAAACAGAAATTAACATATATACGTATGTATAGAATGAGATAGATCGATTTCGATTTGTTTACATTAGTAATATTTGATTGAATATACATATATATTGAATAGTACTGTTTTCTTTTTAATTTTGATTTATTTTTGAATTAAATTTCGAAAATTCGGGATAACTTCAAATCTATATGAAGATGATAAAAAGAAAAACATCGTGAACAGCTTATTTTATTTTAATTAATATATAAGATACTACTAAATTAAATACTTTATATACGGTTTAACATTTATTTAGGTTACTTACTATATATATATATATAGTAAGTAACCTAAATAAATGTTACAAATGTATATATATTGGTAACATTGGTACATATTGGTAATTTTTAACCCGAAGAAAAACTATTACGTTGTTAAACCGTGACTGTAGAGAGGATGGTAAATATTTAGATGATAATTTACTCTAGAGTTTAACTAATTAAATTTGGGGGGAAAGGGATTGTCAGTAATGGAGACTGAGAATCCTATTGCTTGCGAGGAGGTCGACCTGGGTAAATATACCCAACCAGGTCGACCTCCTCGCGGTTCCCCCTGGAAATTAT